GAACTATAGAGAATGCAAAGAGAGTGCTAAGAGTGCAGATGGCGCAAGTTCAGTACCTTTGCTCCTTGGGGATCAGGGTCCTTTTATATTGGAGTTCTGTCAAATCAAGCGTAACCGCCTCTGTCAAGTCAGGCGTAACTGCCTTCGCCGCAGCCGTTACTGTCGGAGCTGAGGTGGCGGGTGCAGGCAGCCGTTGCAGGGTATGGACCTGCCAGGCATGCCACATCTTTCAGAAATGGCAGGCACGACGCCGCCTGATGAGAGACGTGGGCGCAGCCTCCAGATTCGGCAGGTACTATTGTCAGGCAAATCTTTCCTGTAGGTTGCCGAGCTACTTTGCACCGAGCTACCTTACACCGAGGTGCTGGGGGTGCACCGAGGTGCTTATGCTTGAGGCGAGCCTTAGGCAAGTATGGACAGGAGTGTTAATGGTGCTGACCCGAAGTGTTTCCACTTCGGGATAATTAGCCGTAGGTCGGGGTGTTCCCTTCTTAGGAAGAGCTCGGGTCTTAAGAGGAGCTCGGGTCCCTTCGCTGAGGGGGGAGCTCGGTTCGCTCCACCCTTGGAGAGAATTCAAGGTGAACTGGATGTTATTTCCCGGCTAGTTGCCTCGTCCGCCGAGCTGTCCGGCCGAGCTCCGGCGAGTTCGGTACGCCGAGTTATGGCCAAGCTGTCACACTGAGTTGTCACTTATGCCAGGTCATGTCCACGTGTCCCCATGCCACGAGGTCAGGCCAAATCACCCTCCATCAATACCCTTTTAGACAAAAAAGGAATTCTATTGAAGGAATAAAAAATCTTTAGGGTACTTGGGAGTCTAAGCATAAAGATATAACTTAAGTCTTTAACTCCTCTCTTTTAGACATGTTCAGTTCTTAAGCAACTATGTTTTGAATCTTTTATCTAATTTGATAAATCCCATCATCTTGGATGAAGAGAACCAAATGGTAATGTATATACCTAATATAGAAGAAGTCAAAATGCCTTTTTAGCATAGGAAGTCTCAAATCTCTAGGACTTGATGGCATGCTAGCTTTGGTATATAAAGAGTTTTGGGATCTCATGAGGTCTAAATTAGTTCTATTTGCTCATTTCATTGTTTGAAACACCACAAATGAGGTACAAGCTACTTAGCTCCTAAATTAGATATATCAAACACCTACGATAGACTAGAATGCCCTTTATTTCTAAAAGTTTTAAGTGCTTTAGGGTTTTCTTTGGATTTCTAGCAAATCATTCATGAATCTATTTTTACTTTTTCCTTCTTATTTCCAAGGTTCAAAGTATCGACACGTATCGGCCTATATGTATCGTATCGACAGCACCCCGATATATCCCTACAGAGGGTGTGTCGGGGTTCTGACCAGTTCAGAGGGTGGAGCCTTAAACCAGACCTTGAACTGGTTTTGAAAAAAAATAAAAATAAGTAAAAGAAAAAGGACCGACACTGCCCAATACGCCACATATCGATATTTAGAACATTGCTTATTTCTGATCAATGATTCTTTGAAAGGTCATTTTACTCTCTCCAGGTATATATATATATATATATATATATATATATATATATATATATATATATAGCAATGGTTTTTGTCTTTATAAGGTAGGCCCCACATCAAATATATTGAAAGCCTCCAAATTGGTCACTAACCTTGAAAAGCCTAAATGTACTTTTGGCGAAGATATGTGGCTTAATAAAATCAACTTTATCAAAGTTGGAGTGGTGCCTTTCCAAATGACCCTAAAAATGTGATTGAATGATGTTGCTCTCTCATTGTAATGAGGAGATGAATAAGGTGGAAAAAAGTAATGTTCAGAAAATCAAAATACGCATAGAATTGGAAAAGGGAGAGTTCACAGGTAAGAGTTTCAATTGTGATCAAACTAGAAGTACTGTGCATGTGGTGGATATATAAATAAATAAGGTTCATCTCTCTTAACTTGCATTTTTTTTTTTAAATTCAAGTGAATTAAGGCTATGTTTGGTTTGAAGGAAAAGGTGAGGAAAGGAAGGAAAAGATAGGGAAGCCTCTACAAGGCTTGTAAAGGCTTCCTTACCTTTTCCCTACCTTTTCCTTCAGACCAAACATAGCCTAAAGTAAAAATTACATTAACAAACATAAGTAAATGCAAAGAGGTGGGTTAATAGTTACAAGACAATATATTCAAGTAAGGGGTCTTTGGTTCAAGTCTTGTTATCAACATTTTTAAGTTTGTATTTATGTTAATGACCTAGATGGCTTCATAAAACTGGGATCAGTTCACTAGTTTTCTGGTTTAATTGGTCAGTTTTGACTGATTTTTCAAGAATTACGATTTTTAGTAATATGACTGAATCGATCAAACAACCGAGATGGAAAAGAGTATAAAAAAGGGTAAAATACAAAAACCTTCCCGCTGTTTTTACAAAAAATTGACAAAAACCTTCATTCCGTTAATAATCATGAAGAAAAACGTTAAACTGATGATCAAATCTTTCCAATACCTATTTTATCCTTTTGCAAATTAATTTGCATATGTTTTTATTAAAATACGCTTATCGACATATTGTCATCTTTTTCTTTCCCATCGACATACGCCTATCGACATATTATCTAACAATTGGAGTCCTGACCTCTGCCTTGGAAAACTGGCACTAAGGTCTCTCTTGATCTCTGCCACCATTGGTGGCGCGTTGTCAGTGCTCAAGAGCTCAAGCAAGAACTATCTCAGCTTGTGGAGTTGCGATCTCTCATCAAAGCCCAAGGTCAACTTCGAAGATTGTCGATGCATCGGGAAGATTTGCATGGTTGATGTTATCTGCTTTCTTTGTAAAGAGGATAACCTTGCGTGTCCTTCTTTTGCACTTAAATCCCCGATCTTTGTTCTTTTTCCCATGGCCGTTGGGATTGTGAGGCATGTCGAGACACATTTCAGGTTAAGATAAAAAAATCATTAGCCTTTGTTCAGATTTGAATGTATATTTTTCTATATCAAGAAATTTGCAGGGTGTACTTCTTTGACTAGTTGCTTTTTTGCTATTTAAAATATATATTTTTTTCATGAAAATTCTTTGCCAATGGTCACTACTTTTCAACTAAAGTTTCCTTTGTTTTCCCTTTAGTTTCGAATTGCTTCATGAATTTTGTTCTACCATTTTATTGATCTTCTCATATCAAAATTTGTCACTTATCATAAATGCAGATACATCCATTTATTGGGATTTATTTCCAATTAAATATCTCTTTTTTACCTTTACTATCAAACTTGTAAAAATTTCCAAGTAAAATAGTCAAGCAATTAATTTCTTTTTCTCATTTTTCATCTTGCCAAATGCGATTCATCTCATTCTCGAAGGAGCCCAGAACCTTATCGTTCCAATACCGCTAGCCCTTAGGTAGCTCGAGCCTGGCCTGAGTCCAAACCAATTATATACATTTATACATATATATATATATATATATATATATATAATTTTAAAGTGGGTTCATTGACCAACCCAAACCTGGCCCGGGCCCGATCCCAACCCGAGTGCATCAAATTATAGGGCGGGCTGGGCTTGGGTTAGGAAAATCGGGCTTGACCTCAGACTTGGGCCAGGCTCGGGCCTTAAGCCCAAATTTTAGGGCTGGGTCTGGGTTAACCATAAACCCGACCCAACTCATTTGACTTGCACCCCTAATCGACAGGTGTATTTTAATAAAAATAAATACAAGTTAATTTGCAAAAGGGTAAAAGAGGTATTTGGAAAGATTTGATCATCGGTTTAACGTTTTTCGTCAATATCATTGACGGAAGAGAGGTTTTTGTCAAATTTTTTAAAAATAAAGAAGAGGTTTTGACTAAAGTGAAACTATATGAGAGGTTTTTATGATTGTCAGAAAGTTCAGGGAAGGTTTTGTATTTTACCCAAAAAAAAAAAGGAAAAGAGGATCCTATCCTCCCAAAAGGAACCAAATTCTTGGACTATGTTTGGACCAGTTCATTGCAAAGCGCTTAGGGTCCGTTTTGCTCACTGGAATTGGTGCTTTAATCGGAATTAGAATGGCCCATTCCAATTCCAACCATTTGTTTGGTGGGAATGGGTTTATGATTCTCATTCTTGGAAATGGCAATGGGGCGGGGATTACATTCCCCATCCCCGACCCCGACCCC